TGGTGGTGAAATTGCTCTGGTTTTAGGAAAAGTTGGAATTAGACCAGTTTTAGGTTCTTTCAGTCTAGCACAGTTGTTTCTGTTTAACCCAGCACACAGAGAGCTGCAATACAAGTGAATAGCAAATATTTCAGCCTGGAGAAGAGAAAGCTTTGGGGAGACCCAAAGCAGCCTTCCAATACCTAAAGGGAGCCTGGGAAAGATGGGGAGAGACTTTTCACCAGAGGGGGCAGTGGTAGGACAAGGGGTAATGGTTTTAAACTGAAAGAAGGGAGATTTAGGTTAGATATAAAGAATAAATTTTTCATCATGAAGGTAATAAGGCACTGGAGTAGGTTGCCCAGGTAAGTTGTTGATTCCTCCTCCCTGGAGGTGTTCAAGACCAGGTGGATGAGACTTCGTGCAATCTGGCCTAGTGTGAGGTGTCCCTGCTCATAGCAGGGAGGTTGGAGCCTGATGATCTTTAAGGTCCCTTCCAACCTTAACCATTCTGTGATACTTTGATTCTATTATTTGTTCCACTTACCATTTTAACAGCTTCTGTCACAGTTAAAGGAAAACTTTTATCTTGAGGTATGTTTTTGTGGCAATAGAACTAGCTGATGTTGCATTTAACATCTCGTACCTGAGTCTCCTGATACTGCCTAAACTCCATAATTCGATGGTCTGCTCATACACAACCTCCTCAGAAGTCTCTCTGGGAAAAACTAGAGGTACTGGGGACTTCTTACCAAAATCCACAGACCCTAGAGCCATTGTGTGGGAATTTCTTTATTTTATTGCTACATGTTGGCAGAAGTTCACAAAGGCTGCAAATGGAATTGGGTGATGTTTAATGTTTAAGGCTTCCTTACACAAAATGAGAGACAGTCTTTTTTGCAGTGGATTTCCAGGTAATACAGATGTAACACCAGGGGAAGAGAGGAAGGGTTAATATCCCCTCCATTCTGGAGGGAATTGCAGCAAGGAACAAGTAAGGGACTGTGCAGTCTAAGCATCTCCAGGAACTGAAGACAAGTTCTGCTGTTAATCTTGTTACATATTTCATCTCATTTTTTCCTTCCTCGGTGCTACTTATCAATATCCTATCAACTTCATTACTTTGTTTCATATATTCAACAGGCTAGTGGGGAGAGAGTGAATTTGATTGTCTCTAGAGCTCTGAAGTCACAGACCGTCAGTATTATCCGAGACACGGGGACTCACAGTAGCAGCCCTCACCAACACCAGTCCCAGCAGCTGTTTCACAGCCGACCCAACTCACATAAGGTTGGTGTTTCTCCTTCTAAGAGGTATAAACGTAGTTTCAGTCCTGTGATGGTCTAAATGTGTAGCAAGGCAAGATTGGCAGAATGGGTTGTATTTGCTTCTCCACCTATTTTTAAGTTAAAAAAAAAAAGGCAACTTCCAAGTACTCAAGTCCTGTGTCATGTCTGGAGTGGAAAAAAAAAAAGTGCACCAGCTTAGCAATATTTGGATTTGCTGACTGCGGTGAAAGCAGCAAGTTCTCTTGAGCTTGTACAGCCATAATTGTTAGACCTTGTCTAAGACAGTGGCTCATGTGTTACTGGTGTTGACCATGTCAACCAAGCCATCTTTCCTCTTGTCTGCTCTATTGGCATCTATGTTCACCGTCACACTTCTGAAACAGGTTGCCCAGGATAGTTGTGGATGCCCCTTCCCTGGAAACGTTCAAGGGCAGGTTGGATCGGGCTTTGAGCAACATGATCTAGTGAGAGCTGTCCTTGCCCGTGGCAGGGCATTGAAACTAGATAGTCTAAGGTCTCTTTCAACCCAAACCATTGTATGATTCTGTGATTCTGTTGAGAGGATTTACATGTGTTGACAATATTTTCTTATAAAAATTTGGATAATTTTAGAAAACAACAGTTGAAGCTCTAGGAAGCTTGTTTGCCTTCTGAGGAGCGAAAGTGAGGCTGCTGAATACAGTTGGTAGCTCTTAGTACTTGACACAACATTAGTTCATATCAACATGATTACAGCTCATCCATATCAGAGCTTGATATATATATATATAGATCTTCATCTGTGTCTGCCAGCATGAGTTGACACAGTTCCAAAGCTGATCTGTTGGCTGAGCTGATTTTCCTCACATGTCAATACCAACTATGGGGTCTTTCAAAGTGGGAGGTCCCATGGAGCCACAAGTGGACATTTCCCGTGCTTCATGCCTTTTATCTTTGTCTCATTAACCTACAGTTGCCTTAGAAGTCTTGTGGCTTGAAAAATGTTTATATAATTGTTTGACACCAACCAGTGAGGCCTAAAGCCTGAAGACTTATTAAGAGGCTGTCTTTATAAGCATACATATAGCTACATATGTAATTAACATGTATGTGTGAGGAGCAGAGTGAGTCAGAAGAGACATGGGGCACTGGAGGTCAAGAGAGCAATGTTGCCATTTTCCAAGAGAAGTCAGCAGAATAAATATGTGTTTGTAGTTGGAAGAATCTCCCAAGCTATTTCTTCCATTACCTTGGATTCCTTGCAAGTATTCTGTTGATTTAAGATGCTACTTTAAGTATTTGTGCAGTGGTTTGAATGTATCACTAAATATCCTGCAGAAGAAGAGCTTTAGCAAATAAAGTATTCTTGGATTCAGGTTGAGAGTCTTTTAATGGGATAAAACTAAATACAGGCCAAATTTTACAATCCAATTGTTAGAAAATTAAATATAGAAAGAGCTTCAAGTTTGAGCCTTAATTGTAACCAGCAGGGAGGCTGCACAAGGCACCCATTATCAGCCTATGGCATTGACTAGCCTTAGTCACTTTATGCTCTGGGAGATTCTAGATGCCAGCTACAAAGAAACCATGACATATAAGGGCTTTAAATGGTCCGTCTTTGTCAGCATGAAAACACATGTGTTTTCATTTCTTAGGAGCTTTTTTGTAGTTATTCTACTGACAAATAAGGTAATGCTGATGTTCAGCAAGACATCAAAATACTTGTTTCTGGCTTGTGTCCACTGTTCTGACCATGAGGTTTTATAGTCCAGTCTTAAAATGTCACCCATTCCCATGCAGGCTGCTGAGAAAAACTGGAGTGAGATTTTCAAGATGGGCCTTTAGAAACTTTCTGTCTATATTTAAGAATTTACATGAGTGGCTTTTTTATTTTATTTTAACTTTTTCTTTCTTTGTATTTTTTTCTGACGTGGAGAAAATCCAGCTAAAGCCAATTTGCAGGACTTAGTCCTTTTATACCATCCTGTTAAAGTACCAAAGTGTAGCTTCGGGGTGTATTTAGTCGTGTTTTGTCCCGGTTTGTTGTTTTTTTCCTAAAGTCTTAACGATGTTATTTATCTTTGTCAAATAGGATCTCTCCCAGTGTGTTACATGCCAAGAAAAGCACATTACGGTGAAAAAAGAGCCCCTTGAATCTCTGGGAATGACAGTGGCAGGAGGCAGAGGCAGCAAAAGTGGCGAGTTGCCCATCTTTGTTACCAGCGTGCAGCCGCACGGGTGTTTGGCAAGAGACGGCAGGATTAAACGAGGTGGGGCTTGGCTCTCCTGGTGGCACAGGTGACCTCTGGTTGGTGTTTGATGAATAGGTTCTCTGGAGTCAGGTGGTGTCATAAAGTCTATTCACAGTTGTAAGGAAGCACTGATGGATTTTTTTTTTTCCTCACGTTTCAATAATGGAAATAGAGTATTTAGTATCACACTTCCACCTTTTCTAGGAAAAGGATGTTTTGAGAATTATAGCCGGGGAAGAGGATAAAACCAGGAAATGTCTGATTAAATTCTTTAAAGCTTATGGTAATCCCCCGAGCTGAGGGTCTGGTGTGACGCTTTGTACTGTAGCACACACATCCTGTTTTTGTGTTTAATGTGGTGGGCTGGGCCCCATCTCTGTCCAAGGAACTTCCACTCGTCAGTGCATTATCTGAACAGCAGAGATGCTCTGATGACAAGCCACAGGTCACCCGAGCTGAGTTTACCCCAGAAGCTACATTGATGTGACCCTGGTTCCTGAATGCTTTCTTATCCTTTAGGACAGCTTGCATTCCCCAGTCTTCAGGGGTGCTGCAGCACCCATCTGCAGTCCTTGGCTTTGGAAAAGGGAAGGAGGTGGAGACAGTGTAGGTGAATCCTGCCTGATTGATAGCAAAGCATTTGAGGATTAAAACATATTGCACTGTATGTGAAACGAAGACTGCATGTGAGGTCTCTGCAATTC